GGTAAATTGTCACAAAAATTGCCTGTTTACAATAGCTTATAGCCATCTGTTTCAGTGTTTATCCACAGAGACTCAAGATTTGGTGTTAGTATACATGTATGACAGGCCTATTGCTGATTTTAGGCCTATGGCTGATATTAGGCCTTCAGTGTGTAAGCAGAGATGCCCCTGACATCTCTTCCCTTCTCTAAGTATAGAAGGGCTATAGCGAATCTAATCTTGCGAAGGCGGGGATAGAGGCCTGACCTCCAGCAATTGAAGGGGACCTTGTAATGGCTCCAGTCCCCCTGTAGTTGTCCAGTGAGGCATGAGGGCCATACCTGTCCCGATGTCTTTTTCCTGGAGAAGGGATACTTTTGACATCAACTCCTATAAAGTAAGGCATGTCACTCAGAGAACCCAGAGAGATATTTTTAACTTTTATTGATATCCCCTTGCAGTGCTTAGCCTCGCAGCCTAAGCAAGAATTCAAGTCGCCTGTCAGAGGGGGTTCTGGGTAGCCCTTCTCTGCCTGGTCTAGGGGCAGAAGTACCCTCTTTTAGGTTGGGTGGAGATGGGTTTGGGGAACACCCTAGATAAAGTAACAACCTCATCTTGAGTCTCGTGGTCCTCCATAGCTAACTTATGATAATGTATCTGAATAAGTTTTGCTACCAAATTATTTATCTGTTGTTTCACAGAGTTAGTCAGCCTATTTGAGACCCAGAGACCAGAAGAAATAAGCAAAAATAACTCAAATAGTGGTCCCAAGATGAGAGGAGGTAGGGTTGACAACTGTGGAGAGGTTGAAAACCAATTCTTGTACCAACACTCATCTTTCTCTTTCTCTCTCTGTCTTTTCTCAGGGCCTTCTCTGACCTTTTTCATGCCCTCTTTAACCATCCCTGTCTTGTCTATGTAAAGGCAATATTCTTCTTTAAGGGCTGTACACAGTCAAGCGCTGTACACAGCCTTTTCTATTATAATAGAGTAAATCAAGTCCAATAAGGATCTTTGTCATTTTAGGAGGTCTCTTCAGACAGCGAAACGAGGGATTTCTTCAGATTAGTGATGTCAATCTCTAGCTGTTTGATGTTCTTGTCAATGGCCCTTCAAAGGTTTGAGTAGTATAAGTTCGGAGGCCAGCATCTGGATTAGAACTTCTAACAGCAGACATCATGGGTGACTCATTTTTACCTGGAAAGGAAAAAGAAGGGAATTCTCAGGGAGATTTCTCTTCTCTGGATGTAAATTGTTATTCATCTTATTTATGGTTGGGCCTGGCTTTATGGGGTATCTATTTATTTCATTAATCTTTTTGGTAGCCAATTAGCTGTGCCTTCTGTGGTATCAAACAGTCATATCAATCCTCAGCCCCATAAGGGAACTGGATCTGGGCTATTCCCTTTAAGGGTAAGAGGGTCCTTCCCCATATCTGTGGCATAGTTTTTATTGGTCTCGGTGATGCCAGAGGTAGTCAGCAGCAGATTTGCCATGAGCTTTCAGGTTTAGAGAGTTAAAAGTGAACAAGGCATGATGGAGAGTATTTCAGGGGGACTCCTTCTGGGGGGGGAGGGTACCGTTCCTCCTCTTTTGTTTTTAAAGCCAATTTTTCAGGGTTCTTGTAAAATCAGGGCAGAAGCACCAAGAATCGCTCCTTCCACACTCAGAGAGTCATGAAGACACTATTTAAGGTTATATAAATCTATATTAATAATCTCTTTTATTAAAGGACTGTTATAGCACAGCCAACAACTAATCAGACTATATAATATATTGATTAATAATAGCTTCTACTTTTGTGAGATTACTTCTCTTTTGTCAATTAATTGTTGAGAGAAATTAGGATTTACCTCTCTCTTGAGAATATTAAACAGAGACTTAAATTCTTTTGTGGAGAGCTTAAAATAAGATCTTAGCCAGTTAGCATCTCCTAGAAACTTTTGAAAATAATATGAATTAAGTAAACTCTCTTTTTTTTTCAGATCCTTTATCTGTTTTTTTATTGGATATTTTACGTATTTAACTTTCAATGTTATCTCCTCTCTCATTCTCCCCCAAAATTTTTTATCCCGTATCCACTCCTCCTATTTTTATGAGGATGTACTCCAAACAACCCCCCAGTCCCATCTCCCTGCTCTCGAATTCCCCAACAATAGAGAATCCAAACTTTCGAGGACCAAGGCCCTCCACTTCCACTGATGTCTGACAAGGCCACCCTCAGTTACCTATACAGGTGGAGACATGGGTCCCACCCTTTGTGCTCTCAGGCTGGAGGTTTAGACTTTGGGAGCTCTGGTTGAAACTTTTGATATTCCTTCTAGAAAGGACCAAAGCACCCACACTTTGGTCTTCCTTCTTCTTCTTGAGTTTCATGTTGTCTATGTGTTATGTCTTAGATATTGTGAGCTTTTGGGCTAATATCCACTTATCAGTGAGTGCATGTATTGAATTCTGTATTTGACTTGCTAAATGTTTCATTTCCACCTTCATTTTAGTTTTGGGTTTTCTCTATATTTCTCTGTCTTAAATTCTATTTTTGTATCATACAGTGTCCTCCTTATATCATTCAGTTATTTGTGTTTTTCTGGGGCTTCGATCAGTTGATTCCTATCCTATTTAAGCTTATTCAAATGTTTGTCTCTTCTTTAAATCCTTTGAACTCTTTGAACATGTTTATAATTATTCCTGTGAACTATGTTCACCTAAGTCTTCCTTACTAGGGAGTATAACTGTTGAATTGGTGATTCATGGGAAAACAATAAATTCGCAGAGCTATTTTTTTGTTTTGCATTCAATTCTGACTTTTCTTCCCATATTTCTTGTGTTCTTAAGAATCTGATAGAAACAGATGCAGAGAACCACAGCCAAACATCAGGCAGAGACTAGGAGGCTTGTGAGGACAGGATTGAGAGAGCCAGAGGGATCAAGGTCAGCACATTTATCAACCTGGGCCCATGGGGATCTCGCAGAGACTGAACCACCAACCAAAGGGCATGCATGTGCTGGATCTAGACCCCCTACACATTTGTAGCAGACAAGCACCTTGTTCTTCATGTGGGTCCCCTAACAATTGGAACAGGCCTATGTCTGACCTGCTGCCTGGCATTGGATCCCTTTCGCCTAGCTGGATGGCCTTATTTTGCCTCAGTGGGAGAAGATGTGCCTAGCCCTTCTGAGATTTGCTGTCCCAAGACATAGTGGTAACTTCTCTGAGGAGAAAAGGAGAGGTTAATAGAAATTGGGGCTTCTGAATGTGAGACTGGGAAAAGAGGAGGCGGGGAAAGCTGCAATCAGGATATAAAGAGAATAAATAAATGAATGAATGAAAAACTAGGCCTTAGAAGAGAACCTATTCTTAGTATGTTAAGTGGAAATAATACTAACCTAGTAGCTACTGATATATAATTATACCTACATATGAATGCATCTCTCAGTCCTCATCAGAAAAGTTCCTATTTGCAGTAGGTGATGATTAACACAGACACCAACAACTGTGTATGGGTCTCTTGCATGATATTTTTCATTTAAACTATTTTCTGCTCTTAGGATCAAGCTACCAGAAGATATTAGGTGATTTTTTTGAATGATAAAAAGTGGGAGAATTATGAATGGTATTCTGTTTTACATTTGACATATTAATTTACCTGGTTGCAAATTTTATGTTGTATTTATTTTCTATGCTTCATCATAGAGAGCACTTCTTTGATGTTTTTATAACTTCCCATTGTTCACCTGAGACTCATAATTAACAGAGACAGTTTTTAGCACAGATAAATAGTGGCAGGGCTGGAGAGTTGTCTCAGTGGTTAAGAGCACTGACTGCTCTTCCAGAGGTCCTGAATTTGATTCCCAGCAACCACATGGTGGCTTACAATCATCTGTAATGGGATCTGCTGTTTCTGAAGACAACTACAGTGTACTAATCATATATAGAGAATAAATAAATAAAATATTTTAAAAAGAAAAGTGGCTAGATATAACATGTGTAAAAAAATTAATATTAAGAAAGACATATTTCTAAATAAACATTTTTAGAAACCAAAGCACTTTAATCAATTTAATCAGTTTGCCTTCTGAACATGTAGCTATAGAAATGAACTGATATGAATGGGAATAAAAAGCTGTAGATGTAAAATCAACACTTAATAAATGTCTTTATTCTTCTGAAAATTTTACCAATAGATAACTAAAGTTTCTTGGGAAATTTAGCCTAATTTATAAATAATAGCAAAGAAAATTCTCTATCTGAAGATAAAAAAAATATGTCTTAAAATGATAAAAAGAGAAAATGCACATTTGTACACACCACATGGTTGAAGTTACAGGTGAGAATTATCTACTCCAAGTGCTTTGAACCAAAATATATGAGATTTCATATTTTTTCTTCTGATTTTGGAACATTTGAGTATACTTTAATGCTTGAGTATTACTAACATCAAGATCTGAAATCCCAACGTTCATGGACTGAACTCTTTAATTTTTCTTTGCTTTAAATGTTCTGAATATCAGAACTCTTCATACTTTGGACTTGTGAATTAGATAATAATCCAGTATACTAATAACAGAAATCCCAAAAAAATGTGCCTGGAAGGAAGAATAGAGAGCAATACTTCAGAATCACTACTCAATTGTCCCTGTTGGGCAAATTTACATAATACTCAATTGTGTCATAGTGTTAACTCTAACGTACCTTATTTGTTGTAATTTTCATGTACTCCTGGATCATTTTCACATGTTGAAGACCTGACATTAGTTAGAGGTTTGCAGACCAGAATAATATGCTGAAATTTTGTATATACTTCAAAACTTTAAACAGTGTTGTTTATATTAGGCTTATTGTATTGAGCTGAGAACTTATGATGTAGCAGCTGTTACTAACACAATTACTTTTCTCTAATAACAGAATGCTACTGAACAATTTAACATATTCCTTGAACTTTATTTGATTCTATATACAAACTTTTGTGAAAGAAGAATATCTGAAATTTAAGCTTTATAAAAATAATGTTTCTTTCCAGGTGCCCCATTGCCTAAAATGGATGTGTCTGAGCCCCTAATTGCCAGCTCACCGGTGAAGGGAGCTCAGTGTGCAGATCCTCCAGATGAAGAGGAAGATAGAGTGAAAGAAGACCCATTGACCATCTCGGAACTAGCATACAATCCCAGCGCCAGCCTGCTACCTACCCCAGTGGATGATGATGAAATCAACATGCTCTTTGACTGTCCATCCAGGCTTGAATTAGAAAGAGAAGATACGGATTCATTTGAGGAACTAGAAGCAGATGAAAATGCCTTTTTGATGGCTGAAGAGGAGGAGCTGAAAGAAGCTCGCCAAGCTTTGTCATGGAGCTATTCCATCCTGACCGGCCGTATCTGGGTCAACCCGCTGGTCAAGAGTTTCTCCAGGCTCCTTGTGGTGGGCCTGGGACTGCTGCTGTTTGTATTTCCCCTGCTCCTCCTCCTTTTGGAGTCAGGTATTGATCTCTCCTTCTTATGCGAAATCCGTCAGACACCAGAGTTTGAGCAGTTTCACTATGAATACTATTGTCCCCTGAAGGAGTGGGTGGCTGGGAAGGTCAACATCGTCCTCTACATGCTGGGTTGTTCATAAAATTCATATCCGATAAGATGAAGGGCTATCTTCAATACTAGTAGTATTTTCGGTAGATGCTAGGTTTTGAATGGCCTTCAGTTGTCAAGAGGTAGTTTTAGCTCTTGACTCTTAACTCTCTTCTTAACTAACTGCTCAAACCTTGAAATGAGTTTTCTGTACTTTGTTGAATTTAAATCATTTTAAAGCAAATACGGTACTTTGAGTTATCCTTCAAAAATGCAGTCATGCAGCAAAAAAAAATCCTTATCATACCATAATAATTTAATACATTGGAGTTAGGTATTTCTGTTTCTTTTTTGTGAACTATAATTAAAATCAGAATTTTAGGAAAAATACAAGGGGAATCTTTTTAATATAATCTTTGGTGAAAATAATGTCCTCTTACTAATGCCTATACAAATAAGTTGATGCTGAGTTTTTCTTTCACTTTTTTTTTTAAAAAAAAAAATATTTTTATGCGTTCTAACTATTTTGGTAAATTTTTAGCAAAAAAGAAGCTTTCTGGAATTATTTAAGTATACCTACTGTAAAACCAATGCACATGGAATTTTTTAATGTTTTGGCACCTGATTTTTTTAAAGATATTTTTTGGCTAACTAATCCATAATTTATTACCTGCATATGACTTTGAAAAAAATGATAGTAAAAAACTATAGTAAATTCTCAAAAAAGATGATTGAACTAGCAGATGTGAGCATAAAGAACATTGACTTGACATTGTGTGGTCTAGTTTTCAGAGTTCTGGACATGATAATCTTATAATTTCATTTGTGTCTTGTCCATATATTTGGACTGGGGAAGCAGAGTGTTTTTTAAAAAAAATTAAAACTAATTGTAACAGTAAAATTGTAAAAAGAAATCAACTAGTTAATTGTTATTGTTTACTAATCTGAATGAAAGCAAGCAGGAGTTTGGCAAATTAAAGGTAGCAAAGGATTTCTGAAGAGACTGCTAGGCAAGTGACACTAAACATATGGCTACCTTTACGAAGTGATGCTGATCTATGGCGCTCAATGTAAAGAGCTGTGCACTCGCTCTCTGAATTCACAGCATCATGTTTAGTTAATAAAAGTGGAGACATAAATTAAGGTGAAATTTTGGGGCCCTTCATGCTTTTCATTGTAATTCTCTGGGTAAAATTTCAATGTGTGTGTGTGTGTGTGTGTGTGTGTGTGTGTGTGTGTGTGTAAGTGAAAGACAGAGAAGGCAGTGAAAGTGTGTGAGGAAAGACAGATAAGACAGAGACAGAGATGGAGAGAGAGACAGAATGACAGAGAGAAAGAGAGAGAAAGAGAGAGAGAGAGAGAGAGAGAGAGAGAGAGAGTGTGTTTCCTTTATGGATTTCTTTAAGTTCTGAACTCTTATGTAATTGAGGCTTCTATTGAAACAATGAATCACCAATAATTTACCAATTCTGTTTGTGTAAAGTTGACAATAGAAGATAAAAAGAGACAAAAGAAATAATAAATCCTGAGATACATTCCTTCATGTCAGTGAATCCAAGACGGAATATGTCTGTTGCTTTCCATTCCTGGCCACTTAACAATACTGTATTATAAATAAGAAACAAAGGAGCATGGATGGAGTTTACAACATAGTTTGTCCTATGATGAAACCGTCTAATGGCGTTTGGTTATAGAGACTGGGCACACAAGTTGAGCACTACAGTCATGCTTACACAGCACAGCTCTGAGCATTTTATTAGATATTATTTCTGAAAGTTAGCACTTGGGACTTTGAGTTGAAAGCATCATAATATATACTTGCTATTACATCCATGATTTATATTACTTGGAAATGAAACCACTTATCTTAGAAATTTGCTACTGATCAACATCTTAACTGAAGTGTTAACTTTGAACTTTGAAGTCATACTTTCTGGCATGGGTGTACTTCAGTGTGGTTGATTGAAAATTACTTATCTTTTAATTGTCCTTCATATTTCCCTTGAAGTGCTGACAATTCATCCAGCTTTCATCTTTTAAAAATAATGTTTAAATTAAATAATATTTTTAAATTCTGGAGATAGCATATTTATATTATAAAATATAAAATGAAAATAAGACAAATATAGCATGTAATTCATGTGTGCAGACTTGTAATGAGGAGCAAGATGCAGATAGTTTTATCATTTATAGCTTACATCACCCTCCTCTTGAAGAACAATTTATTGTGAAGTCAAAATACTTTTAGAGAAAGAGCGAATAGAGACTGCTAAATTAAAAGGTTAACCATAAAGCCTAACACTGGGATCTTATTTTTAAACATGTTTTAGATTTGTTTTTATTTGGTTTTTGTTTATTTTGTGTATTTATTTTCTTGGTAAGTGCTCTGCTGCATGTACACCTGCCTGTCAGAAGTGGGTATTCGATCCCTTTATAGATGGCCTTGAACCACTATGTGGGCTCTGGAAATTGAATTCAGGACCTCTGGAACAACAGCTGGTAATGCTTAACTGTTGAGCCATCTCTCCAGCCTCACAAATATATATTTTAAAAACTAGCAGTTTGGCCAAAAAAGGATGAAGTCATAGACAAGAAAGGCATGCTTATGAAAGAAATTAGGGCCTTTAAAAAGAAACCAATGAATTGAGGTAATAAAAAAGAACAGGCTCCTGGTATCAAAGAGAAAAGATTCTGAGCAGAGAGATCTGGTGGTCCCTGCTTTTCTCAAGGATTAGTCACTCAGGCACTCAGAGGCAACTCCAGTCAAGGTACAAAGGAAGATTGGCAGACTATCATATCATCCATATTTTAAAAAAAATTCATGAGTTAAGAAGCTATGGAGATTTTACCTCTATTTCAGAGGACGATCTGGAGGTCAGGCAGCGAGTGACAGAGTCAGGATCATACAGGCAATCCCCAAGAGAAGATAAAGTCAAGCTGCAGATGTGAAGCCTTAGCTGAAATGGAGACTTGGTTCCCATTACACTCACACACCCTTATTTCCTTGAGGTAGGGTCTCACACTGAACCTTGAGCTAAATTAGCAAGTCCAGAATTACTTTCCTAAGCAGCCCCAGCACTGGTGCAACCATACCTGGCTTTCTACATGGGCACTGGAGATTTGAACTCAGGTCCTCATGCTTATACAGCCACCAAGCCTTCTCAGCCCCCAACAAAAATTTCTGAATGAAGTTCTTTTTATTTTCTTCTGTTGTTTGTGAATGCTATCATCATATTGAAACTATTTCTGAATTCAAAATCACAAATATTTATTTCTATAACTTTTGTAAGAGTTTTATTATCATACTCTAACAAGTCAACTTATGATTGTGGTGACAGGGTGTACTGTGATTTAGTTGTTCTCAGAGCTGGTAAACAAAGTCTTCTATTGAAAATGTAGAAGAGGTGTCGAATACATGAGGAGAGGAGGGGAGGGGAGAGGAGTGGAGGTGAGAGGAGAGGAGAGGAAGGGAGAGGAAAGAAGGGAAGAGGAGAGGAGGGGAGAGGAGAGGAAGGGAGAGGAGAGGAGAGGAAAGGAGAGGAGATCTTGTGAGGGCAGAAATAGAGTGGATCAGAGAAATTCTGTGTAACCCTTTTATGAACTGTATCAAAGACTGGACATAATCCCAAATCAAAAGCTTAAAGGAGATAGGTGAATATAGATTTATGGTCCCCTAGCTGCAGGCAGCTTGCCTCTATTAAGAAAGCTATATGAGATAACCATTGGGCATATTTCCTCAGGGCTGGCTATTTGCCCATGAAATAAGACATAAAACAAAGCAAATTAGGATAGCATACTTGGGAAGACGGAGAAATGAAGGCATGAGGTGGGTGACTATCTACAGAAGGATAAGTTTAGGTCCTACTGGGTCTGAGATGGTTGGTGTTGGAAAAGGTGTCTATAGCTTCCTGTGGTGGCCTCAAGTTGGAGAGGGAGGCCAACAGTGTGCAAGGATGCTTGCTCCACATACATGAGGGCTTGAGCTTGAATCCTCAGCATCTGTGTAAAACACCCAACATAACTGTGTATCCCAGTAATCCTAGGGGAGTAGAGATAGACGGATCTCAATGAGGCCCACACCAGCCAGCCTAACTGACACAGTGGCCTTTTGGTTCAGTGAGAGACCCTATCAAGGCCATAACCTGAAAAATGTCAGAGGAAGGCATTCAATGTCCTGCTCTGGTTCTGTATGCATATGCAACACTCACATGTACCACACACATATATCATGCACACAACACACACATTTAAAAAAAAAAGTAATGAAAGTCAAAACTGTGAGCTAGAGGGTGGGGAGCAGGAGAGTAAACAGGTTAACAGCGCTCCTCACTAAGACTGTAGAAGCAAATGTTTAGCTGTAACATGAATGTTTCAATACTTCAGTTCTGGCTCTCCAAACATCGTTCCCCACAAAAATGGTCCTTGACACCCTCACCCACTTTGTCTTATCTTTCTTTTTTTTTCTTTTGCCATGCTTTTTTAAAATTTTATACTGATTGATACTTTTGAGATAGGATATACCTTTTTCTAGCTCAGAACCCAGATCTGAGGGGCCTCCTTTCTTCAGAATTTTCCTAAAAGGTCTAGTTAACCTTCCAAGTGACAACCAACAAAGATAGTTGAAGTGGCTGAATTTGTGAATGGCAAACATGCATTATATTTACACCAGGGCAGATTCAGGATCTCTCAAAAGAAGAGAGGAAAGAAAGGAAGATGGGAATAAGAGACAAAAGGAAGAAGATAAATCAAGAGCTAAAAGAGAGACTTTGTTCACGACTGAGTGTGAATAGCTCATTGGGTTTTATTTTGTTCCTTGGGAAATGTCAAGGGGCAGCTTATTGAATATTTCTGCATTCTGTGACTAAAGTACCCAGTATAAACAATTAATGGGAGGGGACAGACCTTATTTTGATCT